GCAAATTAAAGTGGAAAAACACACTACAGGCTGATCCAAATTTGATATAATGTCCTTAAAACAAGTCAAAATGAGGCTCAGTAGTGTGTGTGGCCCCCACGTGCCTGTATGACCTCCCTACAATGGCTGTGCATGCTCCTGATGAGGTGGTGGATGGTCTCCTGAGGGATTTCCTCCCAGGAGCATCTGTCAACTCCTGCACAGTCTGTGGTGCAACGCGACTTTGGTGGATGGAGCGAAACATGATGTCCCGGATGTGCTCAATTGGATTCAGGTCTGGGGAACGGGCGGGTCAGTCCATAGCATCAATGCTTTTGTCTTGCAGGAACTGCTGACACACTCCAGCCACATGAGGTCTAGCATTGTCTTGCATTAGGAGGAACCCAGGGGAAACCACACCAGCATATGGTCTCACAAGGGGTCTGAGGATCTTATCTTGGTACCTAATGGCAGGCAGGCTACCTCTGGCCACCACATGGAGGGCTGTGCGGCCCCCCAAAGAAATGCCACACCATTACTGACCCACTGCCAAACTGGTCATGCTGGTGGATGTTGCAGGCAGCAGAACAATCTCCACAGTGTCTCCAGACTCTGTCACGTCGGTCACATGTGCTCAGTGTGAACCTGTTTTCATCTGTGAAGAGCACATGGCGCCAATGGTGAATTTGCCAATCTTGGTGTTCTCTGGCAAATGCCAAACGTCCTGCATGGTGTTGGGCTGTAAGCACAACCCCAACCAGTGGATGTCGGGCCCTCATACCACCCTCATGGAGTCTGTTTCTGACCGTTTGAGCAGACACATGCACATTTGTGGCCTGCTGGAGGTAATTTTTCAGGGCTCTGGCAGTGCTCCTCCTGTTCCCCCTTGCACAAAAGCAGAGGTAGCGATCCTGCTGCTGGGTTGTTGCCCTCCTACTGCCTCCTCCACATCTCCTGATGTACTGGCCTGTCTCCTAGTAGCGCCTCCATGCTCTGGACACTACGCTGACAGACACAGCAAACCTTCTTGCCACAGCTCTCATTGATGTGCCATCCTGGATGAGCTGCACTACCTGAGCCACTTGTGTGGGTTGTAGACTCCGTCTCATGCTACCACTAGAGTGAAAGCACCACCGGCATTCAAAAGTGACCAATACATCAGCCAGGAAGCATAGGAACTGAGAAGTGGTCTGTGGTCACCACCTGCAGAATCACCCCTTTATTGGGGGGGTCTTGCTAATTGCCTATAATTTCCACATGTTGTCTATCCCATTTGCACAATAGCATGTGAAATTGATTGTCACTCAGTGTTGCTTCCTAAGTGGACAGTTTGATTTCACAGAAGTGTGATTGACTTGGAGTTACATTGTGTTGTTTAAATGTTCCCTTTATTTTTTTGAGCAGTGTAGGTCCTGATATAAGGAATGCCACCAAAAGTGTTCTGATGCTTTGGGTTGTTTTTCTCTTACCCGTGAGACCAGAGACATCAGGTATACTGATTTGAGTACATATATGAGCAAGAGGAAAGCCTGAAGGTAAGACAGATAGCATTCTTGTAGGGGCAGCTACTTTGGCATCATTTATGAAGTTCACAGTGACCTCTAAGAAATGGTCATTTTAGAGCATGATCTCCTCGAATTTCAGTATTAGATCCTCAGTGGCTGCTGAGTGAGAAAGAGCATATGCCTTTTTATTTTTTGAGCCAGGATTGTAGGTGATGTGAAAAATTAACCAGGAAAAGAAGAGGACACATTAGGTTTGTCATGTTTGAGCCACTGGGCAGTACGGAGGTATGCCAAATTCTTAACATTGCTGTACACTGTGATAGGATGCTTTGTTCCCTCCAACAAATGCCTCCATTCCCTGAGGGACCTTTTTATTTGTCCAGCACACCATAGTTACATTTTGTGTCACATAACTGACAGGAATAAGAATGAAGGGGATATAAATATTCCCCTTTATCAATTCATTGTGATAATATGGCCCCAGTACCCACAGCGGATGCACCCACCTCCATAAAATATGGATTCTCAGGATTGGGAAGATATAGAACAGTAGTGATGAATGTTTGCATTACAGTAGTAAACGCTTTGTGGGCATTGGGTGACCAAACAAGCTTATTTTCCTTTTAAAAGACAAATAGATAACAGGTGGTGAGAGCACTCAAACAAAAGAAAATATTACCACTTAAAGTGAATGCAATCCTGCAATAAAAAGACAGGAAACAGATATAGGGTAATAAAGTATAATGTATGATACAATATAAACAGTGGATGATTAGTCTCACTCACATATTGCTGAGCAACTTAATATAAGCTGGCTCAGACTAAAGGCATTGTAAAACTGCTGAAGGTTGTTACTGGATACAAAAAAATGCAGACTTCCTTGTCCTTTTCTTAACAATAGAAGCCAGGGTGTAGGATTTCATTAAAATGATTTATTTGACAAACAGGAAAGCACAGCAATAAAATACAAGTGAAATGACTTGCAACACCACAGGTACACTGACGCGTTTCAGCTTGGAAGCCTTTCTCAAAGTGTATGATTATTCAGGGCTTGTCCTCCTTTAACCTTTGCCGGCATTGGACTCTTCCCACTTCCGCTTCTGGAGTTGGGACATATTCATCAAACGCATCCTTGCGTCCTGACATCGCATCTCCATCTCTTCCTTAAGCATTCGTCATTAATGATGTGAGGATATTCAATACATTGAACGGAACAGTTCATTGCAATCCTAAAGTATACAATGCCCAGAACTACCATGGCACCAGAGCATTTACCATGGGGCAAAAAAACAACACACCTTTATTATAATACAAACACCAAAAAATAAATAAAAAATAGTGTATATAAAAAACAAATATGGAAGTAAATATGGTTAAAAAGAGATGGGATCAAAAAGGAAGGGAAAAAACAGGGCAAATGGAGGTAATGTTAAAAACTTATTAAAACAAAATTAATATAAAAATACATACAAAAATGGCACATTTGGCATAAAAGATAATACTCAGAAATAAAACAAATATAGCAATGCTGTAAATGGAATGGAGATAAGGAAAAACACATTAATATCAATGCGATTTCAAAATCCACATTAAGACCTTATTTAAGTGTCCATGTTAAAAATCCACTTCATCTCTGTTTTACTAAGAATGTTACTAAGAATGTTATTTTTTATCACCACTCCAGTGGATCTTAATATGTTCAATTGCTAAAAAAATCCAGGCAATTGAATATATTAGCAATTTTCGAGCAATTGAACATATTAAGGTCTGCTGAGAATGGCTTCAACCTTACAAATGTCCATTTCTATTGTACATGGGCTGATAATTAATCCAAAGAATTCCACCTGATTGGTCTCAAAAATATTTCTTTCCATTTTGGCATACATATTGTATCTCAACACTTCCTTCACATGTGAACAATGAAGGGATAAATGTCTAAATATGAAAAATGTACTAGTCCTGTAGATCCCAAAAACCTTGCATGGCTTCTTATCCGGTACTGGGTTTTTCTTGGAACCAGAAAAGGCCATCTAGTGGGTTTAGCACCAACCATTTTTCAGAAAGGCTGGAGTGTGGAGGTTTTCTTTCACCATATCTCATGGATGTGCAGGTCCAGGTGGAAATGCAGAATTTCTAGGTAAAGGTTGGTCTGGGCGGACATGGTTCACAGGCAAATAGACATGGTCACTAACCAGACAGAAGAACATAGTCAGGAGCACATTACTTCTCTGAAATTAGGGCATGTCTGGTGTGTCGTTTTGTAGGAGGTGAAGGTCGCATGAAAAATGTCACAGGGATGATCTAATGCGCATCTGCATCACTGGCCACGCTCGCTTTAGGATTTCCCCATAGGAAAGCATTATTTAATGCTTTTTCTATGGGGATTACGGTGACGCTAGAGGTCCTCATGCATAATGTGAGGACGTCCAGCATCGTTTAGGTGGTCGCCTATACACTCTGAAGTTCCTCTAGTGCCTGTTTGGTTAGACAGTCACTAGAGGAGGAGTTAACCCTAGCAGGTAATTATTGATGTTTATGAAAACTGCATTAGTTACATGCTCAGGGTTAAGGATGATAAGAGTTTGCACCCAGACCACTTCAATGAGCTGAAGTGGTCTGGGTGCCTACAGTGTCCCTTTAAGGACACATTTACCATATGGTTAGTGGTTGCTGCAAAATGTATACTTGATAGATTGTACTGTGCTTTAGGGATTATAAAATGTAGAGATTAAGGCCTGGAGAGATAACAAGCTTGAATCTAGGTTGTGGTTGTATTGTGAGGTGTCAGAGGGTCTTTCTTCTGAAGAGCCAAGCTTATGGTTGGAGTTATTCTAGAATTTTTTTGTTCTCAAGCCTAAGTACATTTATTCACACCTTCTTTATTAAAGGGACACTCCACTATCCAAATACAAAATAATAAAAATCACTGTTTAGTAGATATATACCAAATGAAAAACTGCATTTATTTATTTATTTATTTATTTTACTAGAATTATATATAGAACAGCTTGCAGAAGATCTCCTGTCTACTGCCTTTGCACAGCCCTCCCTTCTAACCCCACCCAGACTGCAAAGGCGACTCAATGAGACGCCCCTGTCAGGTGCTCTAAGCAATTGCTGCCTCTTGAGTTTAGTTCCATTGAGCTAACCAAACCAGGAAGTGACAGAATCTCCTTGTCTGCTTGAAAGCCAAATGGGCATTAGCAGGTTAACTTATAAAAGTGTAAATTTATATTGAAATCTGCACTTTTTGTAAAATGAAAAAAGTTGACAGACTGTTCAACAAACTAAAGTGCTTTAGGAACATTTTCAATATAAAACATTAAGATACAGTAATAATATTAAGGGATAAAATACAGTTCCTGGTCTGACAGGAAGTGCTCTCTCAGTCAGACCGCTCAGAAATTCTACACACAGGCAGTAGGGAAGTAGGACATCTCTCCCCTGCTGCCAAACACAAGGGAACTGTGGGCCCTTGGCAGGTGTGGCTGTGCACTGGCACAGAAAGAAGGCAAGTGGCCCATGGTCACAGTGGTCACAGCTATGACCAGGACCCCTGGAGGGACAGGCCTGGTCGCACCTACCACAGAAGCAGGGGTCGCCGCTGCGACCAGGCCTGTCCCTCCAGGGGTCCTGGTCATAGCTGTGACCACTGTGACCGTGGGCCACTTGCCTTCTTTCTGTGCCAGTGCACAGCCACACCTGCCAAGGGCCCACAGTTCCCTTGTGTTTGGCAGCAGGGGAGAGATGTCCTACTTCCCTACTGCCTGTGTGTAGAATTTCTGAGCGGTCTGACTGAGAGAGCACTTCCTGTCAGACCAGGAACTGCGGCGGTGACTAGGAGGGAAGGGGGGAGTGAGGGAGAAAGGAATAGAACACATGGAGGGGAGGGGGAAGAGAGGGAAGAATTGGACACGTGGAAAGGAAGGGGGAGAGAGGGAGAAATGGGACACAGTGAGGACTGGTGGGGAGGAGAGTATGGGACACATGGAAGGGCTGAAGGGAAGGAGGGTATGGGACATGTGCTTTTGGTGAGAGAGAATGGGACACATGGAGGGGCTGGGGGAGAGAACAAGACACATGTGGGGCCTGAGGGCGAGAATAAGACACATTGAGGGGCTGTGGGAAAGACATGAGACACATGGGGTGTCTGAGGGGGGATGACACACATGAAAGGGGGGGTGGGGGAGGCAGGACAATTTTCGCACCGGAACCCAGTAGTTTAGTGGTTTATAGTTACCCCTCTGATAAAGTATAGAGTAAAAAGAGAGTCTAGGTCCTAAATGAATACAACGATAAGCAGACACATCAGTGCTTATTGCAATACAGTTTAAGACACAGGAACTACTGGACAGGTGAACACAATTAAAACACCTAGTAGGAGCAATGAACAGTAGAGTAATACATTTAAAACCAGGTGAACAAGGATGATAATGCTTTTCATCAATAGGGCAGAGTAGACCAGATAAATGAATGCAGTCAACTACAGACTTGAGAGAAATGGAGGAAATTAATTAGAGGGAAAGTTTAAGACAGAGAGAAATTGGAGGTGGGGGTTGGAATGTAGAAATGAAAGGCCAAAACCATCCAAGAGTCAGCCATTCCCATCACTCATCACTAAGTACTAGCCCTGTATTTCTATGAGAGGATTATTATAATAATTTTTTTGTGTCGCTTTTTCTTTTTACCAACCCACCGTTTAGTCAATAGATCCCCTATTTGTTAACTCTCGCTGAGTTTTTATATTGCATTTTCCACTAATTGCATTTGTTTGTATCCACCTGTGCATATGAGTAGGGGGACTAAATGTCTTTGTATGTACAGATCTAGTTGTTCCATGCAAGATCCATATGCATTTTTTTTTTTTGCACATTAGACTTATTAACAATTTTGTGTCTAACATAAGTGGGGACATTTCCGATACACCCTCACTTCTCGCTACATTTCAGCCAGGGGAATCACATCTCCATGCCTCAAGCCACAAATACTTTTTGAACAAAAGAAAGTCCCTGCTGAGCTGTTATTTTGTTCTCTAAATAAATAAAGGAATCACATTGGCTCTACCCTAATCTTTTTGCACCTTGCCATAAGGCAAGAAACTCTTGAAGTATGAGAAAGAAAATGGATAAAACTACACTAAGCTCCCTAAATACCCATTAGTGTATAACATTTGATAGTAGGGCTTTGTTTATTCCAATTGATTTAACTGACTTTCCACTTTGTTCTGCATCTACCAATCACTTATTGTATTTAACTTAATATGTTATGTTATTCATTACATATTAAGAAGATAGTAAAATATTTAAACTGCCATCTCACAATCCTCACTCACCTACTCAATTATTTTAGGTTTCAATTTGACAACAATTATATTAATAAATTATTTTCAATTTACATAATTTTTGGATTGAGGGGGCCTACTTGTTCTCAATGGCTAGGATCTTTGACTTAGTAATTTAGCAAATCTGATTGTCTTTAGACTAAAAAATTAAGGCTCTTTCTCTGAACAGGGAGTTCTACACTCATGAAAGTGGAATGTAAGTTGCTTTAAAAGTAAGAACAATGAAAAAAAATAAACAAGAAAAACCTGAATATTTCTTCTCCGCTTTCTCTATTTTTCATACTTAATTATATTTTTTTTTTCATGATGACCCTTTGTGATTTGTTGTTTTGATCTTTCTCTGTTTTCTTATAACCCTTTAGAAAGAAATTCATATAAGAATGTGAAATGTTGATTTAACTTTTGTAGTAAAAAAAATAATCACAAAGCATTAAGTAAACCATCTAAAAATACCATTCTCCTGAAAGCCCTTACACTACCCTGACACACTGCACTGCACTAAATATTAACCCCTATACTACACTTTGGCACCTACGTTACTGCTGTACTCGAGAAAACAACATTGAAGTCTATGGGGGATCCCACAAGATCCTCCATAGACAGAGCCAATGCCCTGCAGGCATCACTGATGATTGCTGCAGGGATTGACACGATAGCTTCGCCCTGTGTCAAAGAAAGTCACGAGGAGGAGAAATACAGAGACAAAGTAGTATCTACTTTGTCTCTGTATATCTCTTGACTGGGTTGGAATTTCACAAATATAAACAACAAATATTATCAAATGCAACCGGCAAGATTCTTGTAAAAATAAATGAAAACAAAATCATCCAAAAAACATAAAAACTCAGCAAAAGATAAATGACAGCTTAAATTGAAATTTAATGTAGAAGGGATAGAAGGGACAGCACTGGGCATTGCAAACTCAACCAAGCAAACATTGTGAAATATGCTCTTTTTTTGTTAAAGTAGAACCATTGTGGCTCCCACTTTTACAATATAGATATATAGATATAGATAATTAAATAAGTACTATGGTTATTTTTTTTCAAAGTTGTCATTGGCTGGTGTAATCTGATGTTTTTATTTTTATTGAAACTAATCACCTTCTAATGACCTTGGCTTAGAACAGTGCAGGAAATTAATTAGTGTAAATAGTTTTGTGATGTCACCAATTTTTGCCTGCAAATCATCGTTTTTTACATTGTTTTCGCTAGCAGTAAGGATTGTAAAAATGATGTTAGCATAGTTGAGCTACCTGGCAACTTATATATGTTTAGAGAAGACACCTATATACAGTTGCAAGAAAAAGTATGCGAACCCTTTGGAATGATATGGATTTCTGCACAAATTGGTCATAAAATGTGATCTGATCATCATCTAAGTCACAACAATAGACAATCACAGTCTGCTTAAACTAATAGCACACAAAGAATGAAATGTTGCCATGTTTTTATTGAACACACCATGTAAACATTCCCAGTGCAGGTGGAAAAGGTACGTGAACCCTTGGATTTAATAACTGGTTGAATCTCCTTTGGCAGCAATAACTTCAACCAAATGTTTCCTGTAGCTGCAGATCAGATGTGCACAAGGGTCAGGAGTAATTCTTGAACTGTTTCAGTTCAGCAATATTCTTGGGATGTCTGGTGTGAATCGCTTTCTTGAGGTCATGCTACAGCATCTCAATCGGGTTGAGGTCAGGACTCTGACTGGGCCACTTCAGAAGGCTATTTTCTTCTGTTTAAGCCATTCTGTTGTTGATTTACTTCTATGCTTTGGGTCATTGCCCTGTTGCAACACCCATCTTCTGTTGAGCTTCACCTGGTAGACAGATGGCCTTAAGTTCTCCTGCAAAATGTCTTGATAAACTTGGGAATTCATTTTTCCTTCGATGATAGCAATCTGTCCAGGTCCTGACGCAGCAAAGCAGCCCCAAACCATGATGCCCCCACCACCATACTTCACAGTTGGGATGAGGTTTTGATGTTGGTGTGCTGTGCCTTTTTTTCACCACACATAGTGTTGTGTGTTTCTTCCAAACAACTCAACTTTGGTTTCATCTGTCCACAGAATATTTTGCCAGTACTGCTGTGGAACATCCAGGTGCAAACTGTAAACGTGCAGCAATGTTTTGTTTGGACAGCAGTGGCTTCCTCTGTGGTATCCTCCCATGAAATCCATTCTTGTTTAGTGTTTTATGTGTTGTAGATTCGTTAACAGGGATGTTAGCATTTGCCAGTGACTTTTGTAAGTCTTTAGCTGACACTCTAGGATTCTTCTTCACCTCATTGAGCAGTCTGCACTGTGCTCTTGCAGTCATCTTTACAGGACGGCCACTCCTAGGGAGAGTAGCAGCAGTGCTGAACTTTCTCCATTTATAGACAATTTGTCTTACTGTGGACTGATGAACAGCAAGGCTTTTGGAGATACTTTTATAACCCATTCCAGCTTTATGCAAGTCAACAATTCTTAATCGTAGGTCTTCTGAGAGCTCTTTTGTGCGAGGCATCATTCACATCAGGCAATGCTTCTTGTGAAAAGCAAACCCAGAACTGGTGTGTGTTTTTTATAGGGCAGGGCAGCTGAAACCAACACCTCCAATCTCATCTCATTGATTGGACTCCAGTTGGCTGAACTCTCACTCCAATTAGCTCTTGGAGATGTCATTAGTATAGGGGTTCACATACTTTCCCCACCTGCACTGTGAATGTTTAGATGGTGTGTTCAATAAAAACATGGCAACATTTCATTCTTTGTGTGGTATTAGTTTAAGCAGACTGTGATTGTCTATTGTTTAATGATTGTCTAATGATACCTCCTCCCCTCGCCCTGTCTCGGTTGGAGTCCCCCAAGGCTCCGTCCTTGGTCCCCTTCTATTTTCTCTTTATACTGCCTCTCTTGGCAAACTTATTACCTCATTTGGATTCCACTACCACCTGTACGCGGATGACACCCAGCTATATCTCTCCTCCCCGGACCTCTCCCCTGCTGTCCTGCAACGTGTCACTGCTTGCCTTTCTTCCATCTCTGAATGGATATCCTCCCGCTTTCTGAAACTAAATCTCTCAAAAACTGAGCTCCTTGTCTTTCCTCCTCCTAATACTGATCCTCCTCTTTCGCTCTCCCTTCAAGTTTGAGGTACCAACATCAGCCCATCCTTGCAAGCGCGCTGTCTTGGCGTCATACTTGACTCTGGTCTCACCTTTGAGCCTCACATCCAGCATGTTGCCAAATCCTGTAGATTCCATCTTAAAAACATAGCCCGCATCGCCCCTTTCTTGCACCAGATACTACCAAGGAGCTTGTCCATGCTCTAGTAATTTC